AAAGAAAGATGGTTTATGAGATGATTTCAAGGCTGCGTCCTGTCGAGAGTTATCGAGTTGGTAGGGATGAACAAGGCAAGGTAGGGAGCTTCGGTTTGGACAGCTGCGTCTGCTCCTCTGCGCCTGGCAGCTCATCCACAGCTCCCGATTGAGGTGAGCTGTCCACCTTGAATGATGACTAAGACACCTCGCATAAAGGTATCCACATCGCTCAGGCGGCAGAAACACCCAAAGTGGTTCACCGCCCTGTGGTGCCCCGCGCTGGCCCCTGCGCATTGGGCTGTCTGGGGCCTCTGGGCCGACAGTGACAGCGCCTTCAGGCGCAAGCCAGCTGAATTACACCGGTGGCCCCTTCTATAAGGAGATGTCCCACCAACCTAACCCACCAAGGGACCTTACCTAAGATCCGGGCCGCATTGCACTCACCTTCCTCCCACTTCGCAACCCCTCCAACTCTGAACATCTACGCTGCTGCGGTATCTTTCCGTCGCCCTTTGACAAACACACCAACCCCAAACCTCTCGATACCCACACACAACTCATCATGGGCGCAAAGGTTCCACGCAACTTCAGGCTCCTCGAGGAGCTTGAGAAGGGCGAGAAGGGTCTCGGAGCAGGTACTTGAGCCCCTCTAACGCAGCACCAAGCAAGCCGCCCTGCGCACCTCGCATCTCTTACTGACTCTTTCCGCTGCAGAGGCTTGCTCCTACGGTCTGAACGATGCCGAAGACCTCTTGATGTCCGACTGGAATGGAACCATTCTTGGACCCCCTCACGTCAGTATTTCCTTTGTTCCTACCGGCCACCATTGAGGTGCTGCGCATCGCTGACCGGTCCTTTGCAGAGCGTTCACGAGAACAGAATCTACTCCCTCAAGATGCATTGCGGTCCCAACTATCCCGACGAGCCTCCCACGATACAATTTGTGAGCCAGGTCAACCTGCCCTGCGTCAACTCTCGCAACGGCGTCGTCGACCACAGACAGCTTCCCTGCCTTGCCAACTGGAAGAGAGACAACACCATGGAGACCGTCCTCATTGAGCTTAGAAGGTATGTTGGGGAAGATGCATTTCGGTGCAGGCTGAAGTGCTGTAAGCCCTCTTAAGGCGAGGCTAACCTTCGTTTCTCCAGATACATGGCGGCTCCTGCGAACAAGAAGATCCCCCAGCCTCCCGAAGGTTCTACATACCCGTAGTGACCTATGTTCATGATTCCCAACGATGCGCGAAAGAGGATTTGGCTGGGTAGGTCGGGCTGATTATCGGTACACATGGCATGGGTAGTATGGCTCAATGATTACGACTTTTCTTCACACCCAAAGTTCTCTTCCCCCATTTTGATGTGCTTGTGAAAGGACTCCGAAGGAAGACAATGTATCGTCCTGCTTTGAGAGTCTGGACAGAGTGTGACGCAGCAGGACACCGTCAAAAGCATGCACCTCTACGGGTGTGAGACTCAGATCTGGGTACCACATTCTGGGCTACATCTGCTGACTCCATGCTGGACTTTGATCTTCTTAGACACTCGCAGTTTTCCAGGCGGCAACCTTACTAGGGGTCAGTAACTGCGTAGGAATCATGTTAGAGTGAGGTAGGTGATGATGGATCCTATGATTGATTATCGTGGTGACTGGCATAATGCTGAATGTTTTGAGATCTGGGTTTCATGACTAGCCAACATCAATACGGTTACGGTCCAATGCGAAATCAGAGTTATCCGGGCTTCAAGTCCGTTGCGAATAGATGTGCCGTCTGGTCTCCAGGCTGACGATGCAAGGCCTCGTGTCTGGGATGTCCTGGATGCCCATGGTACCACGGAACGGGAGCATCAGAGCCGGTGGGCCTCGGCCGATGCCGTCGGCTAATTATCGGTAGGCAGCTACAGCCTCCGTCATCCATGGGATTTTTTTGCCCCGGTCATCAAACGACGGGGGATCCACCGATCTTCTTTGGCCTTAGCTGATGACCTGAGTGAGAGCTGTTCTGGAGCTCGCAACATCCATCTGATCCACGCATCTCAATCTATGTCAATGCAGCAGACATGGCTTCGGCGGTAACCAAGGCCGCACTCTCCGCGCCGTTGCGACGGGCTCTCGTCCAGTCGCAGTCGCGCGGCTTCCAGACCAGCACAAAGAGCCTGCTTCCATCAGCATTCGGCTCCAGCTCCAGCATCCCGCCATCCTACTTCCAGAGGTCGTCGCTCCCCGCCAACACCGTCATCCGCTTCGTTCCGCAACAAACAGCATGGATCGTTGAGCGCATGGGAAAGTTCAACCGCATCCTCGAACCCGGTCTGGCTATCCTCGTCCCCTTCATCGACCGCATCTCCTACGTCAAGTCACTCAAGGAAAACGCCCTCGAGATCCCCAGTCAGAGCGCCATCACCGCCGACAACGTCACCCTCGAACTCGATGGTGTCCTCTACACCCGCGTCTTTGACGCCTACAAGGCCAGGTTTGTTGACACGCCCTCCACGATCCCATTGTAGCATACTGACCCTCTTTCCCCCAGCTACGGAGTCGAAGATGCCGAATACGCCATCTCCCAGTTGGCGCAAACCACAATGCGATCCGAAATCGGTCAGCTGACCCTCGACCACGTCCTCAAGGAGCGGGCCGCCCTCAACACAAACATCACCGCCGCCATCAACGAGGCCGCCCAGGCCTGGGGTGTCACCTGCCTCCGTTACGAGATCCGCGACATCCACGCCCCCGCCGGCGTCGTCGAAGCCATGCACCGCCAGGTCACCGCCGAGCGCTCGAAGCGCGCAGAGATCCTCGACTCCGAGGGTCAGAGGCAGTCGGCCATCAACATCGCCGAGGGTAAAAAGCAGAGCGTCATTCTGGCGTCCGAGGCCATGCGCGCCGAGCAGATCAACAGGGCGTCTGGTGAGGCCGAGGCCATCCTCATGAAGGCCAAGGCTACCGCCGCCGGTATCGAGGCCGTCTCCAAGAGCATTGCCGACGGCGAGGATGCTGCACAAGGCGCCATCAGCTTGTCGGTTGCCGAGAAGTACGTTGACGCTTTTGGCAAGCTGGCCAAGGAGAGCACGGCTGTCGTCGTCCCCGGCAACGTGGGAGACATCTCTAGCATGATTGCCACCGGCCTGAGCGTCTACGGCAAGGTTGGCCAGGCGCAAGCCAGGACGATGGCGAAGCAGCTCGTCAACAACGAGGAGTCCGACGGAGGAACGTCTGGAGAGCCCAAGCAGCTGAAGGCTTCGGTGCTTGAGAGCTTCGACCAGACGGCAGGACAGAAATGAATACCTTACAGAGTACGGAGCCGGCGTTGATGGACAGACATACAAGATAGGAGAATCGCCGGGTGTCACATTATGTACTAGTACTACCCACTCAACCAAAAAGACGGGCGAGGGAAATGCCCATGCATACCATAGGTTCAAATTGACTTGATCAAAATCATCGTTGGCACACTGTCTTGCGTGATGTTGAAGTCCCGTACAAGCTTAGCATCCGTGGACTGACGCGCTGCCTTGGTAATTTCCAGGTCTCACCGCTACCGTATTCACCACCATGTGAATACGCAGGAAGCCTTCATATATCCCTTCAAGTCCATTCCTGTCACCAGCACAGCAGGCGCCTTCCTAGGTCGGTTGGTCAGGTCAAACTGGCTGGGTGGCGGAGTGGTTCAAGGTCAACAACATTCAATGTCTTCGCCCATAGCCTACTCGACGACAGGCTTCGAGTTCGAATCCCAGCATGAGCACTAAGAGATATAGCCACACCGGTCGGTGGTGAGCTCTTTTCTTCTTTTCTTCTTTTTTCTTTTTTGTAAAAAGAAAAAAAAAAGGAATACAAAAGGCTCGGCGTGTTCAGACCGTCCCTGACTTATTCCTAATTAGGAACTTAGGTGTAGCTAGAAAACTTAGGGCCTAGAAAAATGAGAGGTTCTACCTCACACTTATTTCTCATTTCATGGTCCATCGAGATGAATCGATTGCTTTGAGAAGAGGTTCATCACTGCCATGATGCCATCAGAGCTCTCACTTACGCTGTAACATGTCATTGCTCGGTGCTCGCAACATTATGAGCGGAATAGTTTTATAGCACTGGCAGATGATAGAAACCGGGATTTATTAAGGCATGAGTTATCTGGGCTCGCGTCACCTTGTTTCGCCGTAGGAATATCAATGAAGTGCTTTTCTGAATAGCTCAAATGGGGGCAATTCACCTCGAAATGAGACCGTCAACGTGTTGAACATGCTATGCGTAGCAGTCCGACTGTAATACACATCTTCGTTTCAGTGCCAGCGGGCAGCACCGACTTATCGAGCAAGAATTTGCAGCGGATCGACGGGTCTATGCTCATGCCAGGACTTAGAAGAAAGCTGACTAGAAACGTGAACCAACTTGGAGGATGACAAAGTGTAATGCAATGATGCGGTTGAGTAGTTATCAGTGTCCATCTTGATAGTGGAACAGGGTAGCGGGCCTAAAGGCATCACATTTTGAGAGCGTACTTTAGATATCTCTAAATAAATACTTAGATTATTTACAACATGAATGGTATATAGATATCCGTGTAGCTCAACACGCGAGGAGCATGAAGCTGCTCATGGCAATACCCAGGCAGCTCTTACTGTGCTAATAGTAAGGTTCCAACTTGGCCTTGTCAAATTCAAACATAACCATACATGGGCCCTCGTATTCGGGGCATTTCCTCTAAGATAGACTTCATTTTCTCAAGCAAGTGCATTGGATGAACACATGCCAGTACCCACGAAATGGAGCTGCCACCTAGGTATCTCGCGTACATCGCAATCTCAAAGCTATAGCATAAGCACGCTTATGGTCCTACTGACAGCATAAGGACTCAACCGGCCAGTACATGTGTGCCATCCATGAACTCCTTCATGAGATGGACACATCCTTTCGCGAGCGAACATGTCTGACAGATGTGATTGATGCTTGGGGCAATGGACACTCTGCGGAAACATATGCATGGAGATTTCGCTAAATCTTTGATTGAGCTCACGACCAAGCTGCCGAAAGACTTCTTCTGCTGATATACAGCCGTACTTTTACTGTAAGAGCTACAAGTAACTCAATATTACCAAGGCTAAGAAGCCAAACTCATTCACTTCAACATAAGGCAACGAGACACTGTCACAGATACACTTTGACCGGTGACGTAGGGACTCTAGACTTACAAAGGATATAAGAAGACCGAAGAATGAGGGAAAAGGATAGCAGCACGTGCAGCAGACCAAGATGTTGGAGACAGACATGCATGTCCCTTCTGACACGATGCCTGCCAACAAGATACACGAGCATGACCTTGCGTGGTACAAGATGCAAACCGCATATCCAACCTAGCCGGACAAACACCGATCCTCCAGATCAAAAGAAGAAAGGAAGGGGAACAAGGAGAAACATCCTCAACATCGGCAGTCGAAAATTGCCCCTCGCACGGCCAGCGTTACCCCGCGAAGACATTAAATTTTTTTTCATCACGATGTTCTCTACCCCGCCAACTGGAACACCGGCGGCGGGTCCCTCTCCAGCACGACGCTCAGAGTTGTTGCAGGCGCGATCTCGCAAGATGCAAGCGAGTGGACAAGAAAGGCCGGGTGGTCATGCGGGCCTTGCCTCTCGACTCGCCTTCTCTGGCTCTTGGCTTTCCTCGAGGTTGAGTGAAAGCCCGGGGGCGAAGGTGAAGGGCGAGGGGGGGCGGGGTCGTGTCGGAAAGCGGGCGACGTCGTATCAGCATCGGCGAGATCTCTCGCGGCCGAATCCACGAGCGTGGTCTTGTGGCAGGGGAGCCGAAGGAGGCGATGGATCATGGCGTATCTTTCAACGGATACATACAAACAGGCGGGCTGTAGCCCTTGGCAAGGTCGGCTTCTGCACCTCGCTGACCTCACCAAGCTGACTGGAGCTTACCGAACACCCGTGATGCAGTTTGCCTGCCGCCTTCGCGCGGCACAGCACCGTAGGCTGGCGCCCTTCTTCTCAGCTGTTAGCCTGTTTCGAGATGTCAGCTCTGCATGATGGGACTGTGAGGTTTAGCGGGCGCCGGCCCGTTCAACTTTGGGGGATTTGCCGTGTTAGGGTTTGCGAAACTTCGACAACGCGGCCGAAGAAACCGGGGACGGGCAGCAATGAACATGTTTGGCAATGGGCCGCGGGAAGGGGGAGGGGGCATGCCCGACTCGGACTCTCTTACCCAGGCCTTTGTCAGTGGAGTTTTGGCCCTCGTTACCGTGTTGTACGGAACATCGACCGACGGAGGCGGCCGCGTCAGGGTTCATGATGAGCGAAGCGGGCTGGTTCTGGCAGATCAAGGCCGTCTGGCAGTCAGGGCCAGGAAGAGTTGCTGTCACATCAGGGTTCCCGTCTCCGGCTTCGCGAAGGGGTCAACGGAGCAGGGAAGGAATTCGAACAAGAAATGCGGTCAACAAGCGGCTTGCGCAACTGGTGAACCGAGCTCCGATGATCAACCCGGTAAGGGTTTGAGCTTTTGGGGGCCTCAAAGGCACAAGGGGCGGTTATCTCAACCTTCTTTGCTTTTCTAATTCCTCTGGCAAAAATGGGCACATGCACCTTTTGTCAAGGGGAGGGGGGCAGGATCACCATCTAGCATCGGGGCGGGACTGTCAGAGAAGAGGGCGTTGGCCCTTTATGCCTAAAGCATGTCGATTTCGCGGCGAGATATGTCTGATCTACACCCACGCAGCTAGGTATTACGGGCAAAATACAGAGGTAGCGTCCAATGAAGATGGACAAGGCCTGCCGAATAGTTGCAATGCTCTATTGTCCTCATAGGCTTGAAGCAGCGCATATCAAAATTTGCCCTTTGAAAATGACAAAACAATGATGGCCTCCGCGTCGCCTGAAAAGGCCGAGGCCCCCTGGCCGCTTGGTTCCGGAGCTTCGACATTCCAAGCTGGCAAGCTCTGGCCGTGAGTCCACTTCTCATGCCGAATGTGGACGGTTACGGAGACGTTGTAGCATAGATAGTAGGAAAAAAACAGACGAGAGAAGCAGGGTGACGAAACAACCTCGTAGGCACGGTGGCACGCAAAGTCACGATGGGATGGGACGGGATGGGATGGGATGGGGCTGATGGCAACCGCCTCATCCACAGCAGATCTTGGTTAGCCTTACTCTGCAGCGGGGCTGGGATCTTGGATGCGATGGATCGTCGACATTCCTATTCTGAAAAATCGTTGCGACGCTCGAGGGGGTGTGAACCGTGAGGGGTGGTTTGCTAGCGCAGCCAGCTTGCTGCTTTGCTTGGATTAAAGTGCAGGGCGATGTTGCAATCCCAATATGGATGCGAGAGCATCCGTGCTGCAACGACGGGCCAAAGCTCCAACTACTTCCAAGTTTAACAGGAGCTTTCGTCCGAAGGATGATGTGGTGGTGGTGTTGAGCGAGTCAACCCGAGTCGAAGTGGCAGCCCGGTCCGAACTCTGCTCCGCAAACTCTGCAAGTTTGCTAGAGCGATCAGTGACGAGCCGTGTCTGTGTGTCCCATCATGGCGTTTGCTCGTGTGGAAGGTGTTCTTGCGGATGTGCCATAGATCTTCCCCGAGAGGTCCCCGAGAGGGTGCTTGCTTCGATTCTGTTTGCCCTCTGCTGTCAAGGGCCTTGTATGGTCGCTGATCCGGATCAGCGAGTTGAATTAGACCTCGCAGCAGCAGCGTGCCGTGTACCGTCTTCGAACCTCGTCTTGTGAGACATTGCGGCGCCAGATGCCATGCGTGCCATGTTCAGGCTCAGGCGATAGACGCCAATCTATCGATCAAGGGTTCACCCGATTCAGGCGGGACAGGCCTGAAGGAAGAACCCCGACTGTCACTGCATCCGTACCATAGGATCTATCTTGGGGAACCGGTGGGATGGTCATCGCTTGGGCTTTTGAAGTTGTAACCGTCGAACTCCAGTCGACTTACTCGTCTGTACCTGTGTTGACAACTTCAACTGGTGCATTGTAGTGGTGACACGGTAATAAGCGACAGCTTCGGCGCCAACTCATCCGATGTTTAGTCTCGACAGCGACGATAAGCGTTTGGGGGGCTCGAGTCCGATCCGGTCCAGCATCAGGGCGTCCTCGACCCCTCGGTCACCACAGGCGAGAGAGGATACCTCAGCTCACTCTGTCAGAGCGGACCCTGTTTGCCTGTCAAACCTGAGCTTGGCTTGGCTTGGCTTGGCTTTGCTTTGCCTGGCGTGCTTGGTGGATACGGCAACTGGCGATACTGCTATTGACAGGGCCGGTCTTTAATCATGTGGTCAACTCATCCCGGTCTCTGACCGCGGTCCCCTTTCGATCGTTAATCTCACCGATGATGGGCAATCGACTCAAGCGAGATGTGGTCAACGTATTCCCCCTGGTCTTCAGCCCATGAGACCAAATTCACCAAGACACCATTGGAAATCCTTAAGTGGGATCTGATCTGTATCCGTAATCGTACGAAAGATAGAATGTCAAGTTTGCTCTGTGTTTGCGGGTGACAGGCGCATGAACCACGGGCTCCCGTCTCTGGCATCGGATCGTTGCCCCCTTTGTTTGTACACTATCCATACGCAGTAGACGCACAATTTGACAGCTGTGAACTATTGGACTGGAAACCGGACGGTGCTGTTGCACGTCCCCACGGGTCCCCTAGGATGTAGGTATGTCTTCGTAGTGCGAATACGTTTGACGGCTGAGGCGCTTTGGCTTCAATTCAAACATTGTACTCGGAAAGTCGGACGCGAGTCCACGACACACATGTCTGCGCGTCCAAATTTGTTTCTGGGCAAATAGGATACGTTTGTCAAAGGTTCCTTGTGGCCTGTCCAAGTGGAAGCGAACCTGGGTTGCCCTCGCTGTGCAGCTCGTGATGGACGTGTACACGGACGCCAAGTTTCGACCGGATACATCATTGAACATGGAATGGCAGGCTTCGGAAGTGGAGTTTGACTTTGCCGCTTGCGTGTAGCGCCGCGGTGTTACCGTGAACATGTCGGCACAAGGTCAATCCCACTCTGTTCTACGGGAACCTCTCGTACATAGTCGTAGACCTCGTTGGAGTGGGTGAAGCCAAGCTGTTACTGCCTTGAGGCTTGTGTTGGAGCGGCACCGGTTCGTCGATGATCTATCCGTTCTGGGCAACGGGCTTTGGTACCTGCTGGAGATGTTGTTTGCCCGTTGTTGTGCCTGGAAGTATCCGTAGGATTGAGTAAGTTGTAACGACCCCGGTCTCCTAGTCATACTCTTGTGAAGTTGTGAAGTCATGATTTCCACGCCTCGCGTCTTTTCGCAGACCACTCCAGGGCCTTGACGAAGATGGATGGAAAGATAACCTCCCGTGTCTGTCTGTGAGTCTGCGACGTCGTCGTCGACGAGAGAGGGTCTGTGAGTCGTGGGCCTTACTGCCGTGATGTCCGTGTCCGTCCCAAGGCAAGTGATGGACCTGTCGAGAGCGGCGCCTAGCCCGATGAAGTTCGTCCCTCATCCCAAAAAAAGGGGGCTCGTTCGCGAAGGGACCCGACGATATGGACCAGCCTACATGGGAACGCTTACAAGTCTGGACGAAACCGGTGCTCTCGCTCGCCGCCGCAAAAAGCAAATCCTTCGTTCCAACTTCCCGCAGGACAGACTAAGAACTGCTTCTCGTGTTTTTTCTTTTGGTTTTGTGCTCTCAACGTCCTCAATGTCCCTCTCATTCTACCCCAAACAGTGTCATCTCCAAGTGGTCAGTCGATACGAGTCAGGAAAGTAGCAGTGAAGCTCTCTCTCTGCTGCATCTCATGCGTCGCAAAATAAAGTCGCAGCATCGACTGAGTCGGTCTTAGATTGCTTGCTTGCTTTTGTCGCCTGCAGAGTCTGATGAGAACAGACGTTGGAAACGCTCGATCTCTTCCACGTTGCCTTTTTGTCCTGGTGGGAAATGTTGGCATTGGCCGCGTTGTTGTCTCCGTTGCGAACGTACTAGGCTCAAGCAAGCAGTGCTTGCTCATTAATAACATTGACTCCTTTTTTTGCAAGCATCTCAGCCACGCCGTCCCCATCCCCAGGCCATGTCGAGTGGCAGAGCAGCAGCAGCACGCCAGCTTGAACAACGACTTCTGAAAGTGGGCGGTGGGCACGTAAGTAGTCCACAGTCGCAGTGGTCTAGCCCGCCCCTCTCTGCGAAAAGAAAAGAAAAAAAAGACATTCCAGAATACGTGGAGCATTTCGTAAGGCCCGGAACATGGGGCCAAGTTCAGTCAGGGGGCGTTCCTTTCGACCACCGCATATGGATGGGCCGCCCGTCTATCTGCTGGGTTCGGAAACGGCGGGATCGTGAAGTGACACTGATACTCGCGAACCGAAGCAGCCAGCGAGCTGAGATTCTGAGTTGGCAAAGCATAAGCTGGCGGCGGGTGGTGCCATGGTGCGGAACGACGCCAGCCGGACCCCGTAGCCTCTGGGCAGAGAAAGGCGTTTGCATGGCACAATGAGCTTGCCTCTATGCTGCGTTGTTGCCAACTGTGCCATGATCCATCGTCCTGTCAGCTCAACTATCAGCAGCCTCCTAAACGGTGGGCCTCTCGATGTTGGCTGTCCCGCACCAGGCCGTTTCAAGAGACATGTCGCCCACTATACGTCCGGTCCTGCTGCTTTGAGAAGGCCTAATAGTGATAGGTCATCCGCATACTGGGGAATTCTGAGACAAGACCAGGACAGAAGCGGATGATCAAGACCACCCGCGATCCATCGGATACTGGCTCTCATAACGGCCAGAGGCGGTGTCGCTCTGCGACTCCTGGGTTCTGAGTATTGATTCTGTGATACCCATACCCGCAGGCGCACGAAGTGCTTCCTGTGGAGAGGCAACAAGGCTAAAAGGGGGTGACGGGTGATCGGGACACGAATCGCTACTGAAGCTATTGCCAACAAGTGCCGTTACTACGATGACCGGTGTATGCAGATTTGCGATCCGGAGCTGAACTTTGTAAATTGAATGCGGCGTACGGTCCACGGTTAGGCAGAGAGGCCCAAAGCGCTCATTGACCTTTCGGACGTCGATGACTATGGGTTTATGGAATAATGGCTGTTGAGCCTTGAGGCCCAGGATTTTTCTGCTGAATGGCGTCGCTGATCATCCCCGATGAGACTGTGGGAAGTATGCCCACCGCCCGTAATGGGCAAAGACTCCTCCACACTTTTTCAGGGGCCCCGGCGATGCCCTGCAGAGATCATTCATTGGAAACCTGGGAAGGCATTCACGAGGAGTCCCTCGGTTGGCGACTGGGGGGCAGAAGACTCGGGGAGGGGGGGGGGGGGTCGCGGTTTCGCGCATCCACTGCCATTCAAGCCCCTGCTCGACCTCCGCTGTCAAATTGATTAAAAGAATATTGGGCGGTGATTGCGAGTGTCATCGGTGTCGTCTTCACGCTCTCGTCATCCATCCGTTTGTTCTATCGAGCAGATGCCCCGTGCTTCCCGCGTCTTGTCCGTCCTGTTTCCGTTCCCTCTCTCTGCCAGCTGGATCCCCTTGGTCCATGGCTGAGGGTTGCAACCACTGCCACTGGTGAATCCTTAGGATCCAGTCCGTAGTTGACTATTTGTGTGTACGTATAGCTATAGGCATTTTCTCCTTTGCAATATCGAAATCATGGTTCAGGGGTGTGTTTCTGCCGGCCGACAACCCCTCTGCCTTAGCCCCGGGTGTCGTTGTGCAGCGCGGGAGGGGACCAAGAAAGTGCCAGGCCGAGGGCCGGTCATTGGAGGCCAGCACGAGGAGGTACTTGGAGCCTTGGAGGAGAGACGATTTTGGCGTTCGCGGTCTGTCCGACGTGCTCTTTTACATTCCCACCGTCTCGTGTGGCTTGCAAGGATTGCGTGCGGTGGACCGCCACCATCCATGCAGAATCTGGACGGCTTCCCACCCTAATCACCTACAAGTCAGGCAGTCCCCAGCCAAGGAGGGGAGATGGATCGAGGCGAAAAAGGTGGATGACTTAGAGTAAAGGGTAAGAGGGTGCGGTATGTAAGGTTCAGGTGGCCATCCAAGAGGCCGTCACACGTCAAAGTGCCTTGCCTGGTGGTGCTGGGTAAAATTTCCAAGTTCCATTTCCCTTTTGTCCCCCAATATCATAATCGCTGTTCCCTTTCCAACACACACTTTCTGAGGAAGAGGGAGGGCCCTGAATCTGCTTTTTTCGAGTCTGTACTCTTTACCGCCTCAAAGGTCTCATGTTCGACACGTGGAGGAGTAGCCCATTCGAAGAAATAGTTAGAAAGCCGAGAGAGCCCGTCTGGCCCGGACCGATCTGGAAATTGTGCCGGTGGAGACGCAAGCAGAAGTTTGGCTTATTACCCCCCCCCCCTTCGTCCTGGGTGCCTTCGTATGACGGCCATCGTCTCATTTCTTTGTGTCGCTGTCGGAGTGGGAGGATCGCTCGGGAGGAATCTGTTCAGCTGTGCAACCAAACCATTTTACTACAACGAACCACGAACGAAGGAAACCAACAAGAACCACAGCAGCAACTTGCCATTGGGAGGAAAGGAAACATTGAGAAACAATACCAACATCGCATGGAGAATCGTCGTCCTGTCTGGCTCACCATAACCGCATGCATCGATAGCGCGGGTTGTCAACCTGCTTTGACAAGGTAGTTAGTTCCCTCCACTTCCCAACCACGAAGCTCTGTCATATGAAAATCCGCCTGGCCAAACCCACGGCAGCTTTTCTACTTCAAAAAGCTCTTTGCAGCTCTTGGCGGGGAAAGGCTTTTACAAGATAGAAAAGATCTGGGCTGATCAGAAGGACAGAGGTCGCCGCCGCGCCGGTTCGTCGAGATGGGGCGAACCTCTAGATTCACATTCCCCGTCCCCGGGAGGAAACAGAAACCGCCATTTGGTCCGATTGTATCGGGGCCCATGTCGAAAGCGCAAAAGATTCTGGGGACCGCCGAGATCAACATCGACGCTCCGCGACAATGGGATTCCGCCTCCAACTCTGGCATCAGCGTATGCGTATCCGAAAGCACGGCGACTTATAACGCGAGCGAGAGAAGCCGAGGAGTGATGCGCCATGAAGAGGAGGGCAGCTACGCAGGGAATAATCGCAATAATAGGAACAACGCGAACGCGCAATGGGAGCAGGAGTCCGAAATCGTGCCGGCTTTCTTGACGAATCGATTCGCGCAACTGAGCACAGAAGGCGGCCAGCGAGAGTTTACTACCGAGACATCGAGTCTCGCCCGACGTGGCTCAAACTCGACCATCACGTCGTGGTACGACAAGACAAAGATGCCTCTGTCGATATCGCAGCAGACATCCTCCTCCGCCATGGCCAAGGGCCTACCGCAGAAAGCCAACGCCGTCCTCGATATCGAAGGCCAGTCATCCACCAATGTCCCGGCACCGTTGAACCTGAAAGCCAAAAAGAGGCCAAGCCGACTAGATCTTGGGCCCTTGTTGTCTCGGGCCAGGCACAACAGCTTAAAGGGCAAATCCGACCCTCAGCGAGCGAGCTCCGTACACGGGCACGAATACACCAACCGATCACCCTCGCTTGCCTCGCCCAAAAGCACACAACCGCCGATGCAGCAAAGAATCGAAAGGAAACTTACTAGAAAGAGTACGTATGACGGCCTCAACTCGACGGGAAGCCGCCCAAGAACAGGTTCCAGCAGCCGCAGGGGCGCCAACGATATGAGCACATTGCCCAACCTGTATGAGCATTACGAGCAAATGTCATTCGACCAAGTCCTGGGACACGACGGTCCTTTGGCTGCTGCATCAACTCATTCTCTGAACAGTGTCGCTCATACGCCACTGAGATCACCGTCGACCACGGACCATCAAAGGAAGAACTTTTCGAGGCCTCCCCTGAGACACGAGGGAACGACGTCAACATACCAGCCTCAATTCGGGCCATTGCCAGAATCTTCTTCCACATCAACCGGCCATCAGCAGATGCAGCCCGATCGCGACTGCGCATCAAGCGTCTCAAGCCGCTATACCAAGACGTCAAAGGCCTCCAAACGAACAAGCCAGAGTCTAAACGGTTCTGACTTGATGGAAAAGAGTGTGCTGTCGCTGTCGTCAGACTCGGAAGACGACTTCTTCCCCGACTCCGTCTCGAAATTCACCGGGGGTTCCCGCAGTAGTGATGCAGGCAGCTTGGCTCCCTCTTCGCTGAGGTCGACGCATTCGCGAGATGCCCCGTCATTGGGACAAGGCTCAAGGAAGTCTGTCAAGCATGCCAGCTTTGCCCCGACCAACACATATCTCACCATTCCTAGCAAATCGCCGCCGAGCAAACCAGTCAGTGTCAACTCGCGGATGAGCTCTCTACCTTCAACTACATATCGGCCTCCACCGGCTGCCTCGAATCGGTCGTCACAGTACTCGACCATGTCAACATCAACAACTGACTCCGTGACCAACTCCTTGAATAACTCTCTGAGCAACAACCGACAAAGCCGCTCGAGCTACGGCGTTCAGGAGGCGCGCGTGATTGCCGTGCTTCCCCCGCAAGAATCACATGCAATCCCAAATCGTATGATGAGCAACCCGCCCCAGCGCATGCTATCCACAAAGTCTTCCTCTGTCCATTCGGTCGACCAGCCAACCCCGCCCATGAGCCCGACATCAGTGGAGTCTTTTATGAGTTCCGGCGGTGGCGCCGCCGCGGACACCAACAACACCGCAGACTCCCGCTTCATGGCCGTCACCCGACAGGAAGAGATGCTGCTCGCAGCTCTCCGAATGAAGCGGGCGCGCATGCGCGAGTCGATCCTGGCCGAATACGAAGGCGAGTCGAGAAGTTCTTCCTCTTTCCACCAGCGCAACTCTTCGCAAGGCACCATCACCGAGATGGAATGGCCCGAACCGCCGCAGACCCTCCGCCACCAGACATCAGCAACCTCGAACAGCACCATCAAGGCCGGATCGCGCGCCTCTGAAAGTCGCCCGGCGTCGTTGGTCAGAGGCCGGAGTCATAATCGCAGCAACTCCCGCCACCTGGACTTCCCCGCGCCCTCCTCGCAGCCGGTCTCCGGAGCATCCTCGAGGATGGGTAGCCTGCGGAAGACGAGACCGGTTCAGGAGACGACGACACAACAACCGAGCGAATCCTCCAAGCAGGAGCGGATTCTCCTCTACCTAGACAGGCCGGTAGGCAACGTCAACTCGATGGACTTTGCGGAGCCGAGCCCGGACCTGAGCGACTTTATGGACTTTGACAACGTCAGCGAGGAAGACGAGGAGTTCACGAGCGGCATGTCCATGTTTCGAAACCGCGACCACCACCGCTTCACCATGGGCAGCATGAGCAGCAAGAGCCGGGGACGGATGCTGATGACGGGCGAGAGGGTCCGGCACGAGTTCTCGCCGCTGAGACCGAGGGGCGGCGGCGATGACGACGACTACAACGTCGGGAGCCGGAGCGCGAGCACGAAGAGGGCGCCTACTACCGAGATTGCCGAGAGCGATAGCGACGTCGAGCCCATGTTTGGGATCCCGAGGCCGGATTCGCCCGTGTCGCCCGAGGGTACCCTGGGTCTTCCTCATCAAGGACTGTCGAAGAAGAAGGCTGTCCGGCTCAGTGCCGTCGGCAACGCGGGAGTCGAAGCCGGCTGGTGGGGTGATGACGGTTGAACTGTTTTACAGGTTGGAGAAGTTTTTTTCTCCTCGGAACAACAGAAAGTCTTCTTTGTCTCTCTCTCTCTCTCTCTCTCGTCGTGTGGGAACGATTTCCGACAAATCTTCTTCATGATACCCCTTGCACATGAACAACGTCACTTTTCTTTTCTCTTTGTCAATAACAAGATCCACTTGCTGTACAAAAGATTCTCTTAACGGATATAACAAGAGGCGAGGTGTTATTGGGGCCCCAAGGGACTGGCGGGATGGGATAATTGTGATTCGGGAACTGGAATGAAGCGGGAGGCCGGGGGCATTCTTTGCATGAGCCATTTGCATTTTTTTATCTTTTCTGATTTATCTGTTCTTTTTTGACCCTCGAGATAGGGGCTACCCTGCATCACGCCCAGTCGAAACCATTCTCTATTGAATGTAATACTATTACACGGTGCTCTTGGATGGGAGGGAGGAGCGGCGTAATGAGAGCATCAAACAAGTACTTAGGGAGGCGAAGGCCTTTGAGAAGAAGGTCGCTAGCTGAGGAGAATACAGCAAAGTGTTGAGAGCCAAATCAAAGTCGATGATGAGATGGACCATCAGGCGAAAACATAGCACGTAAGTCATTCGATAACGAGATAACCTCAACCTCCTAGTCGTCTGCCTTTTCTTATCCCATAGCCAACATCATACCTTCTAGCAGCACCACCCTTGCGTACTTGACATCCCCTTGACGAGCGCTCTAATGGCGTCACCTACGTAACAATGGCCTTGCTGATGAGCTTATCTATTTATCAGTTACGGCAATACTTCAAAAGCATCGATGGAGGGATACTCGGCTTGTAGTACGTCAACATCACGCAAAAAAACACATGCCAATACGAGATTTGATCGAATCAATTTAAATTAAAGGCACATACATCAGTGAGGGTCGGTACAAGCTCAACCTTGATTAGATATTAAAAAGAGTTCACCCCCCGGCGGGGGCTACATCTCTAGTGCTCATGCTGGGAATCGAACTCGAACTCGTAGCCTGTCTTCGAGTAGGCTGTGGGCGTAATTGAATGTTGACCTTGAACCACTACCACTCCACCACCCAACCAGTTTGACCTGACTAACCGACCTAGGATGGCGCCTGCTGTGCGCCCGGTGACAGGAACGGGCTTGGAGGGGTATATGAAGGTATTCTGTCGTGGTATATTGTATTGAACCGGATGAATATACCCACGTCCACATGACCGTGGCCCTCGTGTACAACGCCCCAGCAATCCGGCTCCTTTGATTCATCGTCCTCATTGTCCTTCGCACTGTAATTCAACATAACTTCGCGAAGGGATTGAATTCACGATAGACATATCCAATGAGTTTAGATAAAGCAGGATGAACTCTACAAGGGGATGATATGATACGGTCAGAGCGGTATGCCCCGCATCCGACGCGGGGTAGAGATAGGAACGACCAGATCTGCAAGGGAGCCCGAACCTCATTCTTCTCTCATGTAAACACCATGTGTAGCTCATAAGATGTATACACTCATCAGAAATCATCTTCTCCTTCTACCCGGGACCACCCTGGTTCTGGCAGCCGGGTTGGGTCCATCAGACCAGCAGAAACCACTTACATCCCGGACCTGTCTCGCCCCACTGCCCGCGTCGGACCCCCGAGCCGGCACAAGCAACTTCCCGGATTGCACCCGGGACCCCCTCTGTTCCATCAACGTGTGCGACGAGACCCTCTCCGCGAATCAACGCGCCAAGGCGCTGGTAGCTGAGCTCACGATATGGGAGAAGCTGGATAACCTCGTCAACGAGGCGCCCGGCGTTCCGCGACTCGGGATCCCGCCGTATGAGTGGTGGTCCGAGGGCCTCCACGGCGTCGCGTCGTCGCCGGGCACAAAATTTGCAGAGAGCGGCAACTTCAGCTACGCGACGTCGTTTCCGCAGCCGATTGTCATTGGCTCGGCTTTTGATGATGAGCTGGTGGAGGCTATCGGAGCCGTGGTGAGCAAGGAGGCGAGGGCGTTTAGCAATGATGGCAGATCCGGACTTGACCTCTACGTGAGTGAAGACTAAAAGTCATGCCATTCAGATCAGATGTTGACAGAGTCCTAGTCTCCAAACATCAACGCCTTTAAAGACCCCCGCTGGGGACGCGGCCAAGAGACACCCGGCGAGGACCCCTTCCACCTCCAACACTACGTCGCG